AATATTACAGGCATTATTCATTTAATCTTTACAATAAGGTGAGTACAATTATTATCCCAGTTTTATGTGTGAGAAGACCAAGGCATACGAAGGAGAGGGAACTAGACCAAGGTAGAGTATAAATCTCAAGTAAGAATAGCCAGTGGCCACAATTTCACAGAAATTAAGATGTGCAGCAACAAAGGTGAGGCAGACATCTGTGGCATCATGTTACCAATTTAGACCGTTCCCAGAATGTCCCTGCAACCTACCCCACGCCACCCCCGACCCCAGCTCAGACAGTGGTGCGAGCAGGCCCTGCTAGCACAGAAGGCAGGAACCAATATACAGAGAAGTACCATTCAGTTTTCCTGTGCTGCAGAGGCTACCAGAATAGTTCAAGAATAGTAGCAGTCATACATAGAAGTGACAGAAACCCTCAAAGAGTGAGGTGGTAAAGATATTAACAAAATTGCAATGGAAGATATACTAGTCTCTCAGGAAGTTCAGAACAATTCTGGTTATTTCCTCTTGCTAATAGTTTAGACTTGGGCAATCAAAGCCCCCAGGGATGTTCATTATAGAAAAGGATCTATATTTAGGTAATGGTAACACTTTAGAGTTTGCACTTTACAAAGTGCCTTTGCATACAAAGTTTTACTTCATTTTTAAAAATACCTATGTGATGTTTTCAGAGTAGGAATTATTAATCTCATTTTACAGCTGTTAAGGAGGAAACTAAGAAAGACTTGCCTAGAGCCACATAGTTAGTAATCGAGGAAGCTAGGTCATAAGCTCAAGTTTCTGTGTTTTGAGTAACACTTTTTTTTTTTTAAGCAATTCAGTTTGAGAAGCACTCTAGCCCTAGCTACACACAATCCTGACTTAGAGTCCATGGGAATTCTGTGTCACTGCAGCTGCAAAATGACAACACTCATTTAATTTTATAAAATAGCAATGCAGACAGTGAAATAAATGCAGACTATCTGAAGAGTTTAAAGAGCTACAACTAAAAGGATCCCTACACCATGTAGCTAGAATGAAGAAGTCAAAGACAAGTGGAAACTACAGAAAGGCTTCCTTCCAGACTGACTTAGACAAAACAGTGAACTTAATTTTGTCCCATTTCCTAGGGAAACATTAAAACCAATAAATTATCTCAAAAACTTAAGACCAAAATACCATCTAAAAAGACCCAGAATCTCCAAAATAACCTTGAAAATGAGGAACGAAGGTAAAGGAATCGAATTTCCCAATTTTAAAACATACTACAGAGCTGTAATATTCAAGACAGTGTGATACTAAAATAAGGACAGACACACAGACGTACATGAATGTTCACAGCAGCATTATTCGTAATAGCCAAAAAGTGAAGGCAACCCAAATGTCTATCAGCCGATGAATGGATAAACAAAATGTGATACATTCATACAATGGAATATTCTTCATGCATAAAAACGATGAACTACTGGTTCATGCTATAACATGGTTGATCCTTGAAATCCTTATGCTAAGTGAAAGAAGTCAACATAAAACGTTATATATTGTATGATACCATTTATATGAACTGTTCAGATTAGGCAAATCCATACAGCCAGAAAGTAGATTAGTGTTTGCCAGGGGGTGGAAAGAGAGGAAGATTGGGAGTGACTGTTAATGGGTATAGGGTTTCTTTTTGGGGCAATAAAAATGTTCTAGAATTTAACAGAGGTAATAGTTGCATAGCCTTGAGAATATACTAAAAGCTACTGAATTATACACTTTAAAAGAGTAGATTTTATGGTATATGAATTATATTTCAACAAAAAATATCATCCAAAGGCTATTTAAGCATGACACTCTAGTTAAAACTGCCTGACAGAAATGAAGTAGACCACCTGGGAAGAATGGGTGTGGTACAATGACTGACACTAAAATTGGCCAGGTGCAGTGGCTCATGCCTCTAATTCTAGCACTATGGGAAGTCGAGGCAGAAGGATCACTTGAGCTCAGGTTCAAGACCAGCCTGAGCAAGACCAAGACCCCCGTCTCTAGAAAAATTAGCCGGGCGTGCTGGCATACACTTAATAGTCCCAGCTACTTGGGAAGCTCAGGCAGGTGGCTCGCTTGAGCCCAGGAGTTTGAGGTTGCAGTGAGCTATGATGATGCCACTGCACTCTAGCTAGGGCAACAGAGTGAGACTCTGTTTCAAAAAAAAGAAAAAAAAAAAAGGAAAATTAAATCCAGTATGTTGAAGAGATAGCTGCATTCCCACGGTCATTGTAGCATTATTATTCACAATAGCCAAGATATAAAATCAACTTAAGTGTTCACCAGTGGATGAACGGATTAAGAAAATATGGTATATATACACAATAGAATGCTATTCAGCTTTTAAAAGAGGAGGAAATCCTGTTATCTGCATCAACATAGATGAACCTGAAGGATATTATGTTTAGTAAAATAAGCCAGGCACATAAAGACAAATATGGCATAATCTCATTTTCATGTGGAATCTAAAATAACTGAACTCACAGATGTAGTAGCGAGTACAATGGTGGTTACTGGGCTTATGGGTAGGGGGTGGGGAGTGGGGAAATGTTAAAGTACAAAGTTCATTAAACAGGAGGAATAAGTTCTGGAGATCTGTTGTACAGTGTGGTGACTACAGTAAATAATAATGTATAATATACTTAAAAATTACTAAGAGAGTAAATTTTAAATGTTTTCACCACAAAGAAATAAGAAGTATGTGAGGTGATGGGTATGTTAATTAGCTTGATTTACTCATTCCACGGTGTTTATATGTATCAAAATATCATATTGTATGCCATAAATATAACAATTTTTCATTTGTCAATTTAAAAAAAATTCTGGCTCTGGAGTAAAAGAGATACAGGTTGGAATCCAAGCTTCCTCATTTACTGGTTAATTATGACTGAACTAGTTACTTAACTCTTCTACAGATAATAATACTTTACATGAGCATTGTGAGAATTAAATGAGATAATGTATGTAAATCACTTAGCATTGTGCTGGCCACCTAGTAAGCATTCAATAAATGTTGGCTACTATTATTAAATTTAATAAAATGTAACACAGTGATACTTATTTTTATGTGTAATAACATCTACCACATAGGCTTATTATGTGGATTAGATAAAATAGTTTAAGAAATGTACTTTTTGTTAGCTATTATTATTCAAGTTAAATATAAAATAATGATACTTACTAAAATACTATTTCATTAAGCAGAAATTCTTCCTCCAAATATTTATGTATATAGATTAGAAATAATGATTATGGAGTTTAGATAAAATCAATTCAAACTCAGTTGTCACCTGACAATCTCAGTGACTACACCGACTATTTGACTAAATCACATGGTTACTTGGAGATTCAATAAAACAAGGAAATGATATGTTAAGATGCATCAGGCGATTTGGTTAAGAGTAGGGGCTCTGGAGTTAGATTGTTTCATTTGAATCCTTGCTGATATTTATTAGTGAATAACCTTTGACAAGTTACTTAACCTCTATCTCAGTTTTATCATCTGGCAAAAGAGTACAGTGATTACACCCAGAATTCTGAAGTGGTTGTAAGAATAAATCAGATAATCCCTGAAATGTAATTAGCACCATGCCTGAAAAAGAACACATTCTTAATGAATACTGGCTGTTATTTTTATTCCAACAGTAACTTTCTATGAAGTAATTGCCCTATAATGTAAAAGCAAGATGTGTCATAACCATAAGGGTAGAACCATCTGATCAACAAAAGCAATAATAATAATGTTGAGGGAGAAACCAAAAGATAGTTTCAGTCTGAGATATACGTGTTTGGAATACAAGCATATGATGTCACTTTATTGTGCTTCACTTTATTGCACTTAGATATTTCATATTTTACAAATTAAAGGTTTGTGGAAATCCTGCTTTGAGCAAGTCTATTGGTGCCATTTTTTCAACAGCCTGCGCTCACTTCGTGTCTGTGTCATATTTTGGTAATTCTCATGATATTTCAAAGTTTTTCATTATTACTATATCTATTTTGGTGATCTGTGATCAGTGATCTTTGACATTACTATTGTAAATTTTTTGAGGGGCTTTACCAAGAATCACACCCATATAAGACAATGAACTTAATAAATGTTGTCTTCTGACTGATCCAAAAACCAGCCATTTCCTCTCTTTCCCTCTCCTCAGGCCTCTCTATTCCAAGATACGAGAATATTAAAATTAGGCCAGTTAATAACCTTATGATGGCCTCTAACTGTTCAAGTGAAAGAAAGAGTCTCTCACTTGAAATCAAAAGCTAGGGATGATTAAGCTTACTTAGTGAGGAAGGCATGTTGAAAGCCAAGATAGGCTGAAAACTAGGCCTCTTGTGCCAAACAGCCACGTTGTGAATGCAAAGGAAAAGTTCTTGAAGGAAATTAAAAGTACTACTGCAGTGAACACACAAATGATAACAAAGCAAAACAGCCTTATTGCACATAGGGGGAAGGTTTGAGTGGTCTGGACAAAAGATCAAACCAGCCACAACACTCCCTTAAGCCAAAGCCTAATTCAGAGCAAGGCTCTAACTCTTCAATTCTATAAAGGCTGAGAGAAGTGAGGAAGCTGCAGAAGAGAAGTTGTAAGTTAGCAGAGGTTGGTATGCAGTTTAAGGAAAGACGTTCTCTCCATAACATAAAAGTGCAAGATGAAGCAGCAAGTGCTGATGGAGAAGTTGAAGCAAGTTATTCAGAAGATCTAGCTAAGATCATTGATAAAGGTGGCTGCACTAAACAACAGATTTTTCAGTGCAGATGAAACAGCCTACTACAGGCAGAAGATGCCATCTAGGACTTTTCACAGAGAGAAGTAAATGTCTGGCTTCAAAGATTCTAAGGACATATGGTGAAGCCAATGATGTTCATTGGCCATTCCAAAAATCCTAGGGCCCTCAACAATTGTTCAGTTTACTCTGCCTGTGCCCTGAGAGCAGAACAACAAAGCCTGATGAAAGCACATTTATAAAAAAAACAATTTCCTTTCAAAATATAAGTGGTCACTGACAATGTACCTAGTCACCCAAGAGCTCTGATGGAGACGTACAAGATTAATATTGTCACGCCTGCTAACACAAATCCATTCTGTAGCCCATAGATCAAGGAATAATTCTGGCTTTCAAGTCTTACTATTTAAGAAATACATTTCGTAAGGCTATAGCTCCCATAGACAGTGAGTCCTGTGATGGATCTGAGCAATGTAAACTGAAAACCTTCTGGAAAGGATTCACCATTTCAGATGACATTAAGAACATTTGTGGGGCCGGGCGCAGTGGCTCACACCTGTAATCCTAGCTCTCTGGGAGGCCGAGGCGGGCGGATTGTTTGAGCTCAGGAGTTCAAAACCAGCCTGAGCAAGAGCGAGACC